AAGCTTGGTATTGGCACAAAAATAGACAGATAGACCAATGCAATAGAATTGAAAATCCTGATACTAACCCACACACCTATGAACACCTGATTTTTGACAAAGAAGCTAAATCTATACAATGGAAAAAAAGAAAGCATCTTCAACAAATGGTGTTGGTACAACTAGATTCGGACATGAAGACGATTGCAGATAGATCCATATCTGTCACCATGCACAAAACATAAGATAATTTTTAAGGTCCATTTCTTCTTCATCCTCTGCATTGGGCTTTTCAGTTCTTGCTGATGTGGAGTCCCTAGATTCTGGTGGTGTCATATTGGTCTTTCTGTTGTTGAGTGTGTTCTTATTCTATTGTCTTCCCATCCCTTCTTTCAGTGGGTTCAGGTGGGGTCTCTCCCTCTCTTCTCAGGTGGCAGGTGGAGGGCAGAGGGCAGAGCAGACTCAGGGTGGGCCTTCCTGTCTGGGCAGGTCCACTCTTGTCGAGGGGCAGGCTCAGGAAGGAGCGAGCAGGGGGTGATAGGGGAAGTTGGGGCAGAGCAATGTCCAGTCTCACCTCAGACGCCAGGCCTATATTTATCATTGCTGTTGATGTTCACATTTTTTTACATTTACATTCATTTTTATGTATGTGTATTTGGATTGATGTGGGTATGGGAGCTAATATGCCATGGTGCTCCTGTGGATGTCAGAGAAAGTTTATAGAGTCAATTTTCTCCTTCCAACATATGGATTCCACAGATGCATCTCAGATTGCCAAGTCCCTTTCTTTACCCAGTGAACCATCGCACTGTTCCTGTTGGTTTTCAGCTTTGAAAACTTCATGTTAGTGGGACTAAAGAAATTACTCAGTCATTAATAACACTTGCTGCTCTTGCAGAGGATTTGGATTTGGTTCCTAGCACCCACATGACAGTGACAATCTATAACTACAGCTCCAGGAGATTCAATACTCTTTTTCTGACCTCTGTGGGCACCAGACATGCATGTGGTATACACATATACATGCAGGAAAAACACTTGTGCATATAAAAAATAAATTTTCAAAAAACTAGGTTAGCATGCAAAATATTGTTTCACTATAGCATTCTCATACATATGTGTCAGCATACTTTATTATAATCTGTGCCCTCCTCCACTGCCCTTTCTTGTGCCCTCTGCCTCTTACTCTAGCCAGTTCCCTTCCCTCTTGCAGACAGTCTTCCCTTTGGCTTTCACATGACACTGCTCATTCTTTTAAGGTTTTGAGACAGGGTCTTTGTAGTCCTGCATGTCCTGGAATTCACTAAATATACCAGGCTAGCCTCTCATCTGTGGTACTCCTTCTGTCTCTGCTTCCCAGATGCTGAAAGTACAGGTGTGTACCACCACCACTATGTTTCTGCATTTAAATACAGCACTTTGTGGGATAACTGCCTTAATTTAGCTCAGCAGTAAATCATTTGCCTAGTGAATACAAGGTCCTGTTTCAATACTCTTTTAACAATAGTTTAAAATTTACTTTTGTTTATTTGTTTGAGTATAAGTGTGTGTTCATGCCACAGCTCGTGTGTGGAGGTCAGAGGACAACCTGCAGGGACTGATACTCTCCATCCCTCATGTGTGCCTCATCGATCAAAGGTAGTTCTTAAGGCTTGCCACTAAGTGCCTTTTATCCACTGAGCCAAGTCACCCTCCCCAACAAACTTTCTGAATACAGACAACATCCATATGTAATTTCAATTTTGGTAGATAATTTTCAGGTGTTTCCATATTGTTCCATAGTTGTTTCCTTCTCAATTCATACCATTTTTGTTTCTTATGTACTATTTTAAAAGCAGATGCATAGTTATCTTTTCAAAAAAAAAGAAAATCCCCTCCAGTCAATTAATATGATCTAATAGTGGCTATCTACCACAGCTGTGCGTTCCTAATTTTCCCATCATCCTGAAGAACCTGAAAAATATTGAAATCAAGCCCAACAATGTGTATCCACTACTCTACCTTCCAGGTTATCTATGAAGTCTTCTGAATCCATTAGCACTGCTCATTTATAGTGTTCTTGTCTACTCAGTTTTCCTTTCTCACTCATCTCTTTATCTACTTTATACACCACAGGCCAGCATTTCAGCAATACATTTTCCAGTACTCATGGCCTGGTTTTTGTTTTAGCTTAATTACTTTTTTTTGAGAATTTCATACATGACTACTGTATTTATATGATTTCCACCTCTTAATCCCTACCTCCAACTCCTCCGATGGCTTTCTTACCTCTTCCATGAGAGAACTGATTCATCACTTCTCAGCAGCCACTGATTTCTTGTAACTCTTCATCTAGGGATGGGGCCCTATGAAGTTTCCCCTATCTGCATTGGCACACCAGTGCTGTCATTATGAAGGTCTTGCTTGGGCAACCATATTGTTGAGATTTCGTGAGTATACCATCCCTGTCACATCTAGGAGACACTATTTAGCAGCAGGTGTCCTGGCCCTATGGCTTTTAGAGTCTTTTTGCCTCTCTCTTCTGTAATGGTCCCTGAGCCTTAGGTATGGAGGTTGTTGTGTAGATGTCCCTATTGCATTTGGGCATCCCACAGTTACTTATTCTTTGTACTGTCCAGTTGTTGATCTCTGTAGGAGCCTCTGTCTGCTGCAAAAAGAGGCTTCTCTGAGGAGTGAGAGATTCCTGTGTTTTTAGCTTACATGGCTGAATCAAAGCTAGAGAAACACATTCACTTGTGGTTTTCTTTTTCTATTCCTGCTGCAAACTCTACAGTTTTTTTTTTAATATCTCTAAAAAGTGTATGTTGGTTAAACAACAGTTTATAATCATCAGTATCATATGAAGCCTTAGCCTCGTCTTGTGAGGATGGCATAGTTTGTGGGTATCAGCCAACATACTCACCACACACGCTTCTTGTTTTCCAAATGTGCTAGCAGCAAAGTAGCCATGGTTTGAAAGATAGAGGTTGATGATGTACTTATATTCTAGTTCGCAGGCTGGGCTTTGGTGGTGCATACCTTTAATCCCAGCACTCGGGAGGCAGAGGCAGGCAGACCTCTGGGAGTTCGAAACCAACCTTGTCTACAGAGTGAGTTCAGGACAGGCTCCAAAGTAATAGAGAGAAACCCTGTCTTGAAAAATAAAAAAAAATCAAAAATAGCCAAAACTGTTAAAGAATGGGAAAAAAATCTGTTACTTGGCACAGGTAAGGGCAACACAGGAGTTTTTTCCAAAGCAATGACATTCTTGAACAATGACAGCATGGTGATTTTTTTTTTGAGACAGGGTTTCTCTGCAGCTTTGGAGCCTATCCTGGATCTTGCTGTGTAGACCAGGATGGCCTCAAACTCACAGAGATCCACCTGTCTCTGCCTCCAACCTGCTGGGATTAAAAGTGTGTGCCATCACCACCCAGCCAACGTGGTGATTTCATTTGAAGAGCTTATACATATCATATAGGGACATACTTTAGATATACATTCCTGAACATGTTCATATTAAGGTCATAGTTCAAAAAAGAAAGATGTCAGACCCATTTTGATGTATGTTTAGTGTACATTTGAAGGGTTAAAAATGGCAGACAAGAACATGGTATGCTATGCTCAGCTTTGCCTCAAAGATGCCTGCCTCTTTTATCAGTTAACAACTTCATCCTCACTTCATCCTCTGGGCTTCCAGCTTTTTCTCTTAAGGTTCTAATCTTTTTATCATCTTCCCTTCCAAATCCCTACCCATGGAATTCAAGCAATTGCATCAGTCACAGAAACAGCATTGTAGGCACTGTTTAAATAGTTGCTAACCATTGTGTAAAGCAAATTCTTGCAATAAGTATTGTTCTATAATCTCTCCTACTGCCTCTACTCCTCACATCAGACCTTGATTGATGTAGCAGTTATTTTGAGGCAGGTACTTTCCTCTGTGTGACATCTTTCCTGATTTGTTCTGAGTCTAACCATACCTCATCCTATCCTTCCCCCCGTGACTATAGCAAGTGGGTACACAATCATATTTTTTTGTTTTTGTTTTTCGAGACAGGGTTTCTCTGTGTAGCTTTGTAGCCTATCCTGGCACTCGCTCTGGAGACCAGGCTGGCCTGGAACTCACAGAGATCCGCCTGCCTCTGCCTCCATAGTGCTGGGATTAAAGGCGTGCGCCACCATCGCCCGGCCACAATCATATTTTTATTATATATATTTAATAATACTTTGACCTCTTGTGGTCCAATTTTTCTGCTCAAGAGACTTCCCTTCCCAGAGCTAGCTAAATCCTTGAGATCACCACCAACTCCCTTATTAACTACCCAGCCAAGAGCTCATACCCATCAACTAACTCCTTTATGGTTTACAACTGTTCTCCTTTCTTAACAGCATAGCAAGAGCAGACACTAAGCAACTACAGACAGACCTAAAAATCAGAGTCTGGTGACATTATACATAGTTGTCAGTTCTAGGTCACTTACCCTGCCATACTTAGTCTTTTTCACAGAAAACATAATAAATACTTATACCATCTTCTTTCTCTGTCGCTAGATCAGCCTAGGCATGCATTTATGTGGCCCTTTGAGGCATACTATACTATTTTCATTTGGAAATTGAAAGTGATTAACTTTTGTTTCCAAGGCATTTGTCTCTATCACTTTCCCATATCTGATTAAAACAAATACCAGATACATTTCAATAAGGCAAAATTATAGTCAAATATAAAATAATCCACACAGACTGGAAATTTTTCTGATACTCAAGGTGATGTTGTCTATTAAGCATGTTTGTTTTCACCAATTTTCAAGACACATGAAGATACTGAATTTCTTGCTAATTTCTCCATCTAACCCATGAGAAGTGGATCTGTACAGAAATGTAAATGTTTGAAGGGAAGATTGACATCACTTTAAATTCCCAGAGGTACATTTCTGAGAAGAACAGTTACATGAGGTTTCCCAGTGATAACAATTAAGTCATATGAAAACATTGGTTTTTATACAATAGCTCAACCTTTACATGTTTTGGTCTCCATGGCTACAATGGTAGGACATTGCATTGATGATGTCATTCATGACAAAATATTGAACCCTGGGAGTGTTATTCCCAAGAGTTCAGTGTCTTTTCAACTCAGTGTGCAGATGTTTTTGAGCAAAATTTGTTTGTTTTATCCTTCCGAACCACTGGATGTCAAAACCAAGTTTTACAATTCAGACAAGGATGACTTGTTTCTTGAAGTCCAGATTGAAAACATTTCCCATTCGACTGTGTTTATACGAGAAGTGTCCTTGAAGCTACCTGAAATGTACACTGAGGAAGCATTAAACACTCTCAACCTGGAAGGAGAAGATGAGTGTACGTTTGGAACCAGGACCTTTCTGCAGGCAACAGAAGGACGCCACTACTTATACCACTTGCAGTTCAAGGAGGAATATTTGGAGAAAGCGAGAACCCTTAGTGGGCTAATGGAAATGGGGAAGTTAGAGATCGTGTGGAAAAGGGAACTTGGAGAAATGCCAATGCTACACACAGTCCCACTTCGAAGAGAAGCTCCAAGTTGTGGAGAACTGAAGCTGTCTTTGGAGAAAATTCCAGATACTGTAGCCCGAGAAGAACCTTTTCAAATTACCTGCAAGATAACAAATTGCACTGATAAGAAAATGAAACTGCTTTTGAAAATGTTTGATACGACTTCGGTCCGTTGGTGTGGATGCTCAGGAAGAAAGCCTGGTAGGTTGAAGCCAGGCTCATCTCTGTCATTTACCCTGACACTACTGTGCTTACAGCTCGGCCTGAGGAGCATCTCTGGCATACGGGTAATAGATACAACATTAATGACCAAATATCGCTATGATGATGTTGCAAATGTCTGCGTACTGCCTTCCATAGTTAACATGAAATGCTAAAGGAAACTTCCAATGTGATAGTTTTCAAGAAGTTTCCCAGAACAATTTTAAATCTCTTATCAGCCAAAAAGTGATCAACTAACCAGTATAAGAGGAGCTTATTTCTGCTAAGACTATTTCTACCTTTTATAATAAAACAATTGCTGATTTCAAGAACAATCTTCCAGTGTTTGTCTTATGTGAGGTACTACATCAGTCTTGATCTGGGGTTTGAGGTAACGTTCAGTGTTCACTATCCTCTCACTGTCTTACTTAGAAGGTATCTCTCCGGGGTATGCTGCCTTGTTTGAGTAGAGGGAATACACACAATGTGAAATTGTCCTTCCATCTTTATTTCTGATTTCCATGCTATACTCTCTCACTTGGTGACCTTGTGCATTGTGAAAGTATTTTCCTGGGTGAATTGATGTTTGAGTTGATGTTCCTATGGGAGGAAAAACAAAGGAAGGTCCTATTTCATGTCTTGGTAATGTGACCCTGAAGTAAATTAAGCAATACACTTCTTTATGAAAGAGCTGTTTCAAACAAATATAATTGGTTATGCTTTCAAGGAAAGCAGTATTTCTTGACAAGGCTTATTGGGTTCTGGAATTAGAGAGTGACAAGGAACTCCTTGTAGACCTGGGTTACAGAAAATTTATGAAAACCTGGTAGGTTATTATTTTTTTGTTTGCTTCCTTTCTGGACTAGGCATTGGCAATACAGGACTGTTTTCAGTTAAATTCAAACTGTCATGCAAATTAATATGTTGACAAAGTATCCTGTTTTGATGGTCTCAGACCCATTCTCTGAATCAAAATTCCAGACAGAAATTTAGATTCTTTTTAAAGAAACTTTTTTTCTCAAGCATTATTACTATACATTTCTTTGTTTGTAATGCAAAATGCTGTGCCCTAAGTAATGTAATCAGGTATACCAAAGCCCTAATGACTTGTAAGCCATGTAACTCACTTCTGCACTATGACATTGACCTCTAGCTATTTCCTGATGTGTGAACAATAGCTGTTGTCGTATTATGGTGCCACAGTTTTGTTTGTTTTGTTTTTTTTAATGATTTGTTTTTGCTTTTCAAAGCAGGGTTTCTCTGCATAGCCTTGACTGTCCTGGAACTTGTTCTGTATATCAGACTGGACTTGAACTCACAGAGATCTGCCTGCCTCTGCCTCCCAAGTGCTGGCATTAAAGGCGTGTGACATTACTGCCTGGCTATGATACCATGTTTTAAATTTGGTTTTAAATAACATTTTTCTTCTTTTGCACATTTCATATATTGGTACATTGTATTTTGGTCATATCCATTCAACACTACCTCCCTCTCACTCTTCTTGGTGTCTCTAACTCCATCCCCCCAACATCATGTCCTCTTTTTTGTTTGTTTTTGTTTTTTTGAGACAGGGTTTCTCTGTGTAGCTTTGGAACCGATCCTGGCACTCCCTTTGGAGACCAGGCTGGCCTCGAACTCAGAGAGATCCACCTGCCTCTGCCTCCCAAGTGCTGGGATTAAAGGCGTGCACCATCAACGCCCGGCTGCATATTGCTTTTATTATGTTTAGATATTTTCCTGTTATCCCTGATGTCTCCAAGACCTTCATCATAAGGGGGTTTTCGATTTTGTCAAAGGCTTTTTCAGCATCTAGTGAGATGATCATGTGATTTTTCTTTTTCAGTTTGTTTATATGGTGGATTACATTCATGTATGGAGGATGGAGGGTGTGGTATCCAAGTAATTTCTATTTGGTATGCTGTATGTTCACTGTTGTTAAAGGGCACATTTTCTGGTTTCTAAGACATGTAGGACTGTTTCTAGGAAGCTACTTGTCTTCTAGTGCCAGTGATTTTGTGTGTATTTGTTATAGTTATAACAAATGAGGACAAAGTTAAAACAGATTGTGCCTGATTTGTGGCAGAGGACTACTGGATTAGATGGAGAGAATGCCCAGGCATCTCCATGGCCCCATTCAGGTTCCAGAGCTTCATCAAGTCAGTGAGGAGCTGCAAGTACCACGGGAGGAGGTACTACAGGATATCCTTGTTGTGCGCCAGGCAGTACAGAGGTGTAAGATATTGCTCCTTACGGCCCCAGCTCTTGACCAAAGCGCTTCTAAAAGGGTGACTTCATAGATTCTGGTTCTTGAAGGCTTCTGGAGAACATGAGAGGTGGCTAGTATCCAAAAATATAGCTCTTGTTGCCCACATCAGGCTATAGCCTACCAATTGTCAGGTAACATAATTGTCCTGTTGAGATCTAATTGCTACATGAATCTTTGCTTTGTCACATAAGTGATAGAAATAGTGGCTAAGAATATGACACTATGGATGTCAAGAGAGAGGGACCATGCAGCAATTTAGATTGGCCACTACTTCAGTTCATAGCAGTACCGACAAAACTATCTGTATGTCCGTCCTAGTATGTCAGATAATACAAAAGGAGGGCCCAAAATTGTTACAGAATGCCCAGGCTTCCTCCTAAATAAAACTAATAAAAAGGAAGCAGAGCATATCTTCCCAATGATGGAATGAAAGAAGATCCTGCTTAGAACACAGATTAGAGGCAAACAGTGGACCTAGTAGAATCAGTGTGATCCAAGATAGGATCTCTTACACACTGAAATATTGGTGGAGAAAGCTCCCCTTCCACATACCTAGGTACCTGGCTTTTGTGTATGTCTGTGGAGGAGGCACCATCATAGTTGTCTTTGCAGCCACTGTTTGAATTTCTTAGGACACTAAATAGACAGTGAAGATTGGTCCTAACTCCCTTCTCAAGTCTGCATTTGTTTGATACTCTGTGTATGAACCTTGGGCACAGGAACTATTTTGCTGTCATGAAACTTAACAAGAAAAATACTTTGAGGAGAACCTTCCTCTGGAAGAATCCATACATTTATACGTACCTATGTGTGTGTGGCAGGGTACATAGATGTGTGTACTGCAAGAAATTGTTTTTTCTTAAATACGTTTTAGCAAAAGTTTTGGTTTAAGCATATAAACTCCCATTTTAAAACATTTTGTAGGAACTATAGGTGTCCATGTATGGCAGTTTGGAGCAAGTAGGCAATGGGACTCCAAATCTTGTTAGTAAGTGAGTCCCTACTTGAAGATTATCTATGGAAGTCTTACTGGTTTCCCTTTTCCAGCTCTGAATGTCATTTCTGGATGCTTTTTCACTTTTGTAAACCCTAAGTCTGGGTGGGTTGTGTTCCATAGGCCTATTTGTGCCTCTTCAGCATGACCAAAAGGGGAAGCAAAAAGGGCAACTTAGTTCTTCATACTATTTTCTTCAGCGAAAGCTAACCTGTATTCAGGGGCTGGAAAGACAAGGAAACAATGTTTTTTGGATGGATCATAAAGAATGAACATTACCTGATAACATTTTACCTCTAGGTTTCATGCATGTCTTCAAGCAGCTCATTTCTTTCATGTCTCTGTCCCTACCCACATTACTATATCATCAATTTCTTTATTTCTTCAAACATGTCCATCCTTATCATAATTTGGATCTTGAATTGTTTCTAAAGATCCATGTCTTGAAGGCTTGTTCTTCTGCTCTGGTGCTACTGGGAGGCAGTAATGGTGGAACCATTAGGAGCTGGGGCCAAGTAGAAGGAAATTAATCCATGTTTGTCATGCTCTTGAAGGCGATAGTGGGATGTCAGTCTGGCCCCATCTCTCGTGCTTCCTGACTGCCATGAGTCAAACAGGTTTCCTGGCTTTGTGTTGCTTCCATGATGTACTTTGTCACCATAGACCCAGAACAACAGAACCAGTGCCTATAGAGTGAATCTGAAACTGAACCAGAATAAACCATTCCTTCTTTTCAGTTGTCTATCTTAATCATTCTTCACAGCCGTGGAGAATTAACTAATATACATCTCTTCACTCTTTGCCAATTGATTGATAAAATTGCACAAGGCTCCACCCAGGCTCTGAATTGAACTTGTACACCTTTTTTATACCTTCATATTCAGTATTTTTCATGGCAGATAACAGCAATTACTATTTTCTAATCATGACACACACTGACGATGACCCTTGGCTATTCTCCTCACCTTTTGTTTTTCATCTGCCAATAAATCTCGTGAGTTCTTCTGTCAAAATAGTTGTAGAGTCTGATGAGTGACCTCACTGCCTCCACTGCTACCATCCTTTTCCAAGCCACCATCAGTTTCTTTGGCTTATGAGAATTGTTTCCTGATTCTTTCCCTGCTTTGTCCTTTGTTCTTTGAACATTTCATATATTGGTACAATGCAGTTTGGTCATATCCATTCAACACTACCTCCCTCTCACTCTTTTTGGTGTCTCAAACTCCATGCCCCCAACATCATGTCCTCTTTTATTTTTCGAGACATGGTTTCTCTGTGTAGCTTCGGAACCTCCCTCTGGAGACCAGGCTCGCCTCGAACTCACAGAGGTCCACCTGCCTCTGCCTCCCAAGTGCTGGGATTAAAGGCGTTCGCCACCAATCTGTTTAGGTATCCTTACTTCCTCCTTCTGTAACACAGATAAGCTATTATTAGCTTGAAGAAGCAACCTCAGGTAAAATTTTAGGTTTATGTAATTCATAAAATTGGGTTTATGTAATTCATTTTTACTTAAAATACTTTTTAGCTATTCAAAAAACAAATACAGAGTTCTTAATTGTATATACCCCAGGGCTTCACCGTTTTCTGTCAAAATCCACATGGAGGCAGTTTAAATGAATAACTGTGGCTCTGGAGTCAGAATCCATGGGATTTGGAATTTCTAAGAAGTAAACCAAATTTTTGAGCTTTCTAAGCCACAGTCTCCTCCTCTGAATATTATGGGGCTACTCTGAAGCCTGCATAGCTAAGTTTTGGGATAAAAGAAAGCCTTGCCGGGCATTGGTGGCACATGCCATTAATCCCAGCACTCAGGAGGCAGAGGCAGGAGGATCTCTGTGAGTTCAAGGCCAGCCTGGTCTACAGAGCGAGTGTCAGGATAGGCTCCAAAGCTACACAGAGAAACCCTGTCTCGAAAA